TCAGTATGGAGGTCGTTATATTAATAGGTATAATTGTCAAAGATTTAGTATAATCACCTGTCACATTATGTATTAAAAAGAATTTCTGTGAAAAATTGGCGTGACAAAAATATTGTTTTTTTTTAATATAAGATAATATTGATTTGAAATGTAGCTCAATTGACATACCTATACTAAAATTCGCAAGCTACAACTAAAATGTAAATGCTTTATTTGGAAATTAAGTTAAAAAAAATATATCTATATACATAATATGTTTGACTGAAAAACTGTTTTATGCGTGTTTCGCAACGAGGCACGAATTTGGAGAGAGATTAATAATTAAATAAGCCTCGTCCCAATGGCTGCCCTTTTACGGACGATTTATTATACGACTCGAAAACACACCGTAGAATTTATATGACGTGTTAATCAAAATTCCATAGTTTTTAAATATTGTAAATATTTCTGTCATTTGGCAGGTGTCGATGTTTTAATTAATTAGTATGATTTTCATAGTGATTATCAAGAAAGATAGTGCATAGTCATAGATATTTATCTGTGGACTCTATTTTGATTTTTTCCCCTGATTTTATACTTTTAAATGTTTTCATACAAATTTAATAATGAACCTTAAAATGATACCGTTTAACAATAACGTTTGGCTCATTTGTGTCAAGGTTTCACTATCGGATATCGATATTAATTTAAATATAATACTTGTCCAAAAAGAAGCGCTTTATTTCAATATTTAATACGATTAAGAAGAAAAATATTTATATTCATATATGCAACTTTTGTGCACCTTTTAACAATTGAAACCTCGACCTACTTCGCAATTATTATTATATAATAAAATCAAATGCAAGAATTTTTACACAAAATTTGTTAACTTATAAAATATAAAGTCTAATGTACACATCTATAGTATATAATGCCTATGTATTTTCACGAATTCAATGAAATGACGTAAACCAACACATCTAGATAAAATAGGTATAAGAAAAAATAAGAGAAATAAAAGAGTAGGCTTCGTAAAGTTGTATTAAATTTCTTACCAAGCAATTCGGCAGTGCTATTAGTATCGATGCCAAGCTCTCTCCCCAGTTCAAAAGCGCGTTCCTTAGGATCCTGCGCGAGCGCCCATGGAGAGAGAGCTACGCCGCTTTGCGCTATTGCGCCGTGGAACAAGCCCTTCGTAAAACATACATTTAAATATATTAAATAAAGAACAAGACAGATAATCTATACAAAGATAGCTAATGCTTCATCAAATATACCTAATGTTTACTGAATATGGTTCCTATAATTCGAACAATAATATCAAATCTAGTACCTTCCTATTAGTATCATTTATATGATACAGACATCATAAAGAAAGAAAAATTCTTTCTGAAAAATATGACTAACAGGTGAACACATTTGTCTAGTATAGCATACCGGTAAAAGACAAACCTTTGAAGCCGGAGAGAGCATATGCAAGTGTACTGAAGCAGCACCAGCTGATTCTCCAAAAATCGTGATACGTTGCGGATCACCACCGAATGACTCTATGTTATCACGCACCCATTTCAGCGCCATGACTTGATCCTTTACAATAGAAATATTTTATACAACATCCACAAATGTATATTATATATTTAATTAATATCACGTAACGTTACTTTGAAAGAGTTGTTGGTTCTTTGCTTTTATGTCAGCTTTATAATTATGTTGTCTTTGTAAGATATGAATATTATTACCACATGTTGATATTGATTAATAAATAATTTTGGAATGCATAATAACGATTACGTATGACATTTATTGGTAATACTAGCGGACCCGACAGACGTTGTCCTGTCTACACGTCTTTAATTTGAAAATTTCAAACTTTTTTTAATAATTTTTTTGATGAAAATTATTATTCAAATTGTGAATCTAAACCATTCCCAGATCCCCTTGAACACACACAAAAAATTTCATCAAAATCGGTCCAGTCGTTTGAGAGAAGTTCAGTGACATACACACTCACAGAAGAATTATATATATAAAGATTTTTTAAATATTGACAAGCATACAATTTAAATTATATGTGAAAAATTATGGATAGTTATGTGTAAATACTATGTAAAATATTAAAATATGAATTATTAGGTTTTAAAAATTCGTTCACAAAATTAGTTACATTACAGAACAAATAACAAACATTTTTAAGACAAGACCCTTAAAATATTAAGATCATTTAAAAGCTAAGCTTAAATTTATATATACCTACCATGGATCATTATTTATTGGTAAACAACTATAGCTAAGTAATTTTTATAGTTTAGTGAATAGCAAGCAATTAGACTACAAAATTTAAAAAATTGTTGTATAATAATAAAACTAAACAATTACAATCCAATAACTATTATTTGAATGTAAGCAACAATCTTAAACTATCATTATCGAATAATGCTATACAGTTTTGAAACCTTATAAATGCACTTCACCTATATATCTAAGCCATGACTAAGCGTTGCTTAAGCTGTAATCATCATCTTAGAATAGTAGACGGACCATAATATTGTCCTTTGTGTATAATTAATTTATGGATGCCCTTCTTAAACGATGCATATCTTAAAGTACCTAATAAACATTTTCGTTAGATTAATGTTAAAGTTTTATGTAAAATATCAACATTTCTTAAAAAGAAAGATCTTAAATTTATGCTGATATGTTATTATAGAGATTTTTTTCGAAGTGATGATCAAGAAATATGTATTTAGTGACACGGCAATCGATATTTGGCAAAATACCATAAATGATAATCACTATAAGCCTACAATGTTTCCAAATCATGAATGTAAAGTGTTTTTTTTTTGTTATTATTTGACTTTCCTATTTGTTTTAAGTTTAATAATAATCAGCTCAAAATAGATGGATATTTATTACGGCATGCACTAAAAATATCTTTGAAACACCTTTTGTGCCATTCATACTGAGTCGCTTATTACTGTACCTTTTCAATTACGTTGTAAATACTCATAGTCATAATATATCTGGCGCCAAAACTAAATTAAGAAAATCTCTATAAAAGTAGATACCTTTAATCCCATATTGCCAGAAACTTCTTCATTTTCCAAGCTCAGAAAGCCCAACGCTCCAAGCCTGTAGTTCAACGTGACAAGAACTACTCCTGCTCCAACGAGGTGGTCCGGCCCATATAGGAAGGCATTTCCTGAACCAACCGCGAATGCACCTCCATGAATCCAAACCATCACTGCGAGTTTCGGATTATACCTTTTGGCAAAATGTAAGAAAGTATTATATTATTTCGATGTATTAATGAATCAACACGTTTCATTAAAATTAATTCTTATTTAAGTTACTTAGTATCCTCCAGGTCATATCTGCATACTAATTTTTATTCAAATCTGTCCAGCCTTTTCAGCCTGAAGGAGAAACAAACATACAGGTACATATTTGTACCTACCAACTTTTTCGTGTACGTATAATAGAAGCCTACCAGAAGCTCAATTTCAAATTAGCAATATGAATAAAAAAGCGAGTAAACAATTTATATTTCCTCAATTTTTTAAAACTTTTAAAACATTAATTTACCAATATCAGAACGAAAGTTAAATATTTATATCCTCAAAATATGACGCGCAATCACGTGGAATAACAAATATGAAGAACCTGAATGATCTAAGCCTTTCATTACATAAGTAAAACACTGAGTAGGTACTGTGTAAATATTGCAAATTATCAAGGATTTGGCAAGGTAACGAAACGTTAAACTTTAATTAGAATCGCATAAAAAATACCTACTTGCTTAAATCTGTCTCTATACTTTAAAAAAATATCTTAACAAATCTTTATAGAGATGTTTAATATAATATTTTTGTAAGAAAACATTGTTCTTCATTGTTTTATTACTAACAAATTAAAGAGCGTAGCGCACATGTTGATTAATTTATAGTATTTACCCGGACAGTTTATCCGGCAATGCTGGTGTGTAAACATTTAGGTACAAGCAGTCTTCATCGCCTTTGTACGTATCAAATAACATGAATCGATGAGGACAAACAGCACCTTCTTCGACTGCATCACGAATGCCTGACCATGGCTCCAATGGCGCCGGAGGTCGGAAACGCAGTGGACCTCGAGGTGGCTGAGCATATCTGGCAAGAATAAGCTAGTATAGGATCACATTAACAAAATCTTGTTGTTTTTAGTCTGCTATGTACAATTATAATTCACAAACTTAAACCACGTGTGCGGGTGAAATTGTTGTCGTTTTTTTTATATATTTTTAATGTCCTAATTTCTATTAATGACAATAATGTATATTATAATTATATAGGTACTTTTTATCTACATTCATAAATAAAATAATTACTCCTTTAATTAAACTATGTCTTGACATAAGAGCTTATTTTAAATTTATTTGTTTGTACAATTAGCAAAAGATTGGGTTTTGTACTACATTATAGTACCTACTTTCAAAACATTTTTGACCAACTTCAATAAAGGAAGTACACAATTCTCTTTTTTTTGTAGGTAGATATTATCTTTTTGCTTTGCTATTTTCATAAAAGCCCCCAATCAACCCTAAGAGTGAAATAATTACTTTTAAGTGACTTTCTACCTTCTTTAAAATATAGAATGGACTTTGCTGTTTGAGCTTTGATTTACAAATAGGGTTCGTTATATAATATAATTTACTTATGTTGGTATTGAAATAACTAGCTCAGACATTCGATGGTAGAAAAATATAGGGAAATCGAATAGGTTTTTATTTATAGTGTAACCCTTTAAAGTTAAAGTTGCGCAATTATAGAGGGATTTAAAACTTAAATAACTTTACAATACAATAAAATTGTTTATATCGTTTGAATGTAATTAATTTTAAATTGCAATGTTGTTGTAATTCAATGTGATTATCAAATACCTTCACAGTTACAAGACCGTTTTGATGTGTTTCGTAACTTAATTTTTTAACTAGAAATATTATGCTAAAGTGCAACACTATAATTACAACCCCTTAATTCGTTGGAAGCTCATTGCTTGAGAACGGGGCGAATGATTTAGTTTATTTGATTCAAAATGTAATTATAAATGTTTTATACAAGCAAAATATTTTTTTAAGGAAAATGTTTTAGAAAAACCCGTTTTTGAAAAGTGTTTTTTGAAGTGAAAACTTCTATAGGCAGGTTTGGATGGGGAGTAAATTCATGTAAGTCATCATCGACATGATCACATGACGTGTTAATGCCTACACTCAGATGTCAAAGCCACAAACAAAACAGTTGTATTTTACAAATTTTCATTTGAAAATCCAAAAATAACTACTATTTGTTTATAGTTGTAAGTTTTTAATTCTGTGGGCAGTCCTCATGTCTCCTTTTTTTTCTATAAGACTATTTGCATCAAAGATCACAAACCAAATTAAATTCTGGACAAATTCTGTTGGTTCTGCTAGTTTATAAAAATTATCTTTATAGGAATTTATTATTTTTTTATCTACTCAAAAATATACTGAAAATACACGTCTGACGACACGTTTGGCTCAGTGTGTAGTGACCCTACTTACTGTGCCCCGCTCTGTGCTGTGCTTCGAGTCCCGCTGGGAGCATTCGTTTGTGTGATGATCACGAATGTTTGTATCCAGTCATGGGTGTTTATATTTAAAATATGTATGTATTTAAAGTTATATATGTGTAGTGTTTCAACTATCTGGTATCCATAACACAAGCCTCGTAGCTTACCATGGAACTAGATGGTGTGTGTCAATGTCCCAAAAAATTTATATTTATTTATTATATTTATTTACACTCCCTCTAGTTAAGTAAACAATGTTAAGTACCTTATTCCTTTGAAACTATAGAATGGCGTTTGGATATTGGTCCTGGCCACAACCCTGCGACCACGTAAGGAACCATATATCGTAGTAACAATGGGACCACCGCCCACTCGCATGCGGTCCACTAAGGCGTGGACCAATCGAGCCGCTCTAGCTGGTACTGCTTGGAGTCGTCTTAAAGCATGTTTTAAGCCAACTGACTCGCTCACTGTACTCGATAATCTTCGCCATGCTCCTGTTACCTATAAAAATATATTATTAAAAAAATATGTGGATATTTCTAATAGAAAAATATATTTTTTACAATCACGTGAAGTAAAATATAATGTAATAACGAGACAATTAACAAGTAATTTAATTAAAAAATGCTGCTTGAGCGCACTTATCTCTAGAACACAGATTTTATTGACTATTCATTGAGGAAGGTATTCAATAAAAAACGGGAGCGAAGCCGAAGGCAAAAGTTATCTAAAATCCGCGTCCATTCATTTGTGGACCAATCATATAGGTATGTAACAAATAAGTGCAAGTAATATATTTAGTATTAGTGTAATTGAATTATCAATTATTGTCCTTCTTGTGATAACAAGCCAGTAAATTACAATGGCATCGAAAAAATCTGTTGAAAGAAATTTTAAATTTATTGACTGATACACATCCTAAACATGTAGATCTAGAACTTAAAAGCATTAAAAGCCTTGTGTTTTAACTATATAAAGAAGATGAGTACTAAGGTTAAATAGGGTTTGTTTACGACTCGAAAGTTTCTTTAGTATCCAAAAAGCGATTGGATTCATAAAAATGTTCTTAAAAGATTTTAAAATAGTTATTATTTTTATCGTCTATTTTTTGAGTTAATGATTATACTGGCATACCACAAATGAATCACGTTATTAAATAAAGGAAATACCCGATTTCGTCAACAATAACGGTACAATTTTATAGACTGACAAGAAAATAATACTTTTTGAGGCTTTATATGTTAACTTACACTTATCCCTTCAACGTGTTGGTACCTATTAATTTCACCGTATAATTAAATTAATGTCGACTAAAGACATGACTTATCATTTAAATGAAAGAAAAAATTAAACATTAAATTACCGCAACAAGTGTTAAATAATAAGTACCTAAGTGATTTAACTTTTCGTAATCATAAGTACATAACATTTTTACATACACTCGCTTTTTGTTAACATTTATATAGTTTCACATTTTGTCTTACGAAGTGTATGGAATATATTTGTGAGTAGACTAGATAGATAGATAGATATTAGGTAGATGAGTAGACTAGAGAAATTGGACAACTAATTTGGCTTATTCTTAGGGTTATTTTTGATTTCTTGAAAAGATAATAATAGATGTTTATTAATCCGTAAACATTCAAATTGTTTTATTTAATAAATATGTGAAAACTAAAATATGTTTACCATTGCAAAATTCATCCGACATTTTAACAATTTTGTGAATTTTTAGTTTGTCGTCGTGTTTGTATATAGTAAAAGCGCCATCTGTGAATACGCACTACAAACCCATTATCTGATTGTTAATTTTTCATCTATACTACGAGTATAATAAAACAGTAGAGGTCGAATGTCTGTACATAGCAAAAAAATCCTAAAAACCGAGTCAGGGGTATGTAAGAGGACAAATAGAACAAATCCAGATATTATTCAATATTTTGTTTCTCTGTCTGTTTCTACGGGCTAATCTCCGAAACTATTGCACCAATTTAAATGAAATTTTGCATGGTCGTACCTTATATCCCCGGTAAGAAAATTAAAGAGTTCCCGTGGGATAGTTAAAAAACTATAGTAACTTATACAGCTTAGTACACAAAAACTACTGATTGGATTTTAATGAAACTATTAGTTCATACATACAATACAATAGCCTACTTTTTATCTTTTTGGAATTGGAAGTCGGTTAAAAACCATAATATACCTTCTTAGAGTCTATTTTATTTACAAATCGATACTTAATATCTAGTATTAACATTTATTTGAACTATTTTTTCTTTGTACATGATGAGACCCCATGACGACGACATGACGATGAGCTGTCACCGTTTTTGTCTGGCAAGTCGGAAAAAATACAGCTTTTTTATGCTGGGTGCTGCCTAAACGGTTGTTTCGTAGAAGTCACAAAATAAAAAAAAATAATTGAATTAAACGGTTGTTAAAAAATTAAAACAATGTATAATAAAAAAATAATTGCAAAAGTGGATAAGTCACAAGATCTGAATAAACACTGACTTGAAATACTTCCATACTTTTCACATTTACGAAATATCACTAACTTTAGGTGGTAATTTTGCGAATTACTGTAATTAATAGTCGCCATATTGGTATCGATCTATGTAATTCCTTATTCCAGTGTCACAACATTGCACTGCTTCACATTAGTGAGCGGTGGCCTCAACCAAATTATTGCAACTTTGCTAAGTATTCGAATACTGCCTTACAGAGAACGAGAGATTTATGTTCTAGGTACTCTACATTTTTCTGCATTATCAGTTTACCTTTAAAAATAAATGAGACACTATGTAGGCGACCAGTGCTTCCAATTGTGAAATTTTTGTGCAATTGATTCAATGTTGCTGTGACCTTTGCTCTAACAAATCTAAATTTAAGCATAGTATTTGAAATTGCGTTTTAACTATACATACTTATTTGTATATAGACTTGAATGTACGAATTGTTACTTAATAATTATTACTTTTAAAGAAAGCCGATAATTTAAGTTATCTTTCATAATTATAAAAAATTGGGAATACCCGTTCTTACGATTAGAGCTATAGACTAAAATACATATGTATATAACATATCATGTTCGTAACACAAATAAGTAATAAGATATAGTATCAAAATGCATTAACTGATAGGATGTTAAAGATCATATCAAATATTCAATCACTGCAGTCGACATATTATGACGTCGGCCGCAAATTGCATGTTTTTACTTTCTAAATGTGCATGTGTATAAATAGTGTTTTCTATAAAGGTACCACATTTTTCGTTCTAAAAACAAATAAGCTTTGACAGTAAAATAATTCTAATCTATACGTATAATAAAATTGTAGAGGCCGAATGTCTGTACGCTGTACTTAAAAAAAATGCTAATAACCGAGTCAGGGGGATGTAAGAAGACAAATAGAACAAATCTAGATTTTTTTTAATTTTTTTGTTTCTCTGTCTGTTTGTCTATCTGTTTGTCTGTACGGGCTGATCTCCGAATTTATTGAACCGAATTAGATGAAATGTTGCATGGTGGTACCTTATATCCCCAGGCAACATCTCAGATACTTTTCACCCCGGAAAATTAAAGAGTTCCCGTAGGATAGTTAAAAAACTGTAATAACTTATATAGCTTAGTACACAAATACTACGGATTGGATTTTAATGAAACTTTACAATAATATAGTTCATACATGACAATAACAAATCGGCTACTTTTCATCCGGGAAAATTAAAGAGTCCCCGTGGGATAGTCAAAAAACTTTAGTAACTTATACAGCTTAGAACACAGAAAGTACTGATTGGATTATGATGAGACTTTGCAATAATATCAATACGAATATTATAAATGTGAAAGTGTGTTTGTTTGTTTGTCTTTCTTTCACGTCGAAACGTCTTGGCGGATTGGCGTATTTTTTGTGTGGAGATAGTTGGCGGGCTGGATAGTGACATAGGTTACTTTTTACCGAGGGAAATTATCTCTTTCCCACGGGAAAAGACGTTATAATACAACCCAAAAAATATTTATGATCAGCATTATTTGAAACTTGGTATTATTGCTCTTTAATAAAATTAAATACATACGTGTTTCAGCATTTTTCCAAATTCATCCTATAAGGAGGTAAAATAGGGGATAAAAGTTTGTATGAAACTATCTTTGTAGAGATTTTTTGTAGTTTTAGCGCGAGTGACGCTGCGGCTTCTGCTAGTGTTAATATAACTTTATAAGTATACTCTGGGTTAGGTTAAAATGTGTTTTCCCGTGAGAATGAAATATGTAGATAATCTCCCGCGCTAAAAAGAAGCCTATCTCATTTTCCAGCCTTCCATCAATCTCCACACAAAAAGCCAGGTCAAACCATCATTCTGTTTTGACGTGAAAAAAGGACAAACAAGCAAACACATTTTCACAGTTAAAATATTAGTATTTATAATATTAATATGGATATGGATAATATTATCTACCCTCTCGACGTGTTTTCACCTTGTCGTGGTGGAGGGGGGGCTCATTGCGTCCGGCAATAAAGCTAAGATAGGTAAATAAATTTCTTTTTAACATTATCTCAAGAGGTAATTATAATCTTATTTTGACCGATTTTAAAAAGGGGGAGGTACTTGTCTCTATGTTTTAGTGCGTATGAAATTCGATATTTTTGCCAACTGTGGATTAATTTCCATATTTTTTAACGAGTACTTTATATAAATTTCAAAACAATTCCCACCCAATGGAATGGTGGAATCAGGAATGATTTTAATTTATGTTCAAGTTGGACTACCTTAATTAATTTTTTCTCATAGAAAGTTATTTGATAAGCGACAACAATTGTATGATTAACCTAAATAGATAAAACTTCCTGCATTCAATAAGGAAAGTCATTAGAGATAATGGGAATGTTGCCTATTGGCAATAACAATATTAACCCAGAAACCTATATAATTATTTAATGTCTTTTTTTAATTCAATTATTTTATGAGTTAGTAATAGATACTCACTCTCTTAATTATGTTTTATTACTTTACTTAATTCATGAAAGAAAATTATATAAGAAAATGATTTTATGTGCAATATCGGATAGATATGTATATGACAGAGTAACTAGTAAGTTTAGCCGACTTTAAGAAGATGCAGGTTTTTGTTTGCGCTTTTGTTAATTCTTTCATTAACTCATTGTTCATATATTTTTATTAAAGTTTATACATAATTTGATAAACCTTATCCTATAGGTACTACAAATATTATACACGCGAAAGTTTGTGAGGAAGTATGGATGTGTGTTTGTTACTCTTTCACAAAAAAGTGCTGAATGGGTTTTATATGAAACCTTTTTTGTAATATAACATAAATTCATCAGAGTAGCACACAGGCTATAATTTATTTTTAGTTTTGCCTATTTTGACTTGCCCAAAAAATAAAAAATGAAGTAAGTACCTAATTAGTTCAAACGAACAAGTGATTCTGTTAATTTGAAAATGAGAAGTTGAGTTAGATGAGTCAATGCCTTATCCAATATAACCTGAGATAATGACATAATAATTTTGGAAAACATAATATAATGTAAAGCTTCAGTTATAGTTTCCTAGAAAACAATAAGGAAAACCTTAAGTGATAAGTCTATATTTTTATAACAACGTACCGTAGTATATTTACCATGTAGATGTTTCAATTTTTTAAATTATTTTACGATTTAATTTTTACTTTAATTTAATCACTATGATTTGCATACGGCTTTACATTCATACCTATATGTATATTTTAGTTTAAACATTTAAAATAAAACTATGCATTCGGATGTATTCGAATCGTCGGAAACTAAAAATCAAAATAAATTCGCGAAAAAATCCGAAAAGATAGTTTTATTTAATATGTTAAATATTCGCGTAAATCTAATAAAAGTATTATATTTTAGTTTAAAGTTAAGTTTAAATTTTATCTGAATATATAATTTAGAATTTTATCTATAAGTATTATTATTACTTATTTAAGTATAGTATAAGTAATAAGAAACATTCAATTTACTATGCCAAAAAAATAGTCGCTTAAGAATCGGAGTGCTATTTAAACGATAAAATATGGCTCGCACAAAGTTATATAAGAAATGGTGTGTAACATGATTCACGTATACAGACGTGGAAAAGACCACATTGCCGCCACGCTCTCTTGCCTAATAACTAACACATCGAGATTTTTTTGGGGTCCTCTTACTTGTAGTTAGAAGTCGCGGATTCAATTTTATGTTTGTGAAGAATGATTATTATGTATAATAATTACACATTAACATAGTATAATAATTTTTAAATGATAGAGCTGAACATATTTAATAAAGAAAGTGACATGTAATTAAGCCATATTTATAATAATTTTATTACATAATTATATGTATATATCCACATCCAAAACAAATATTATAAATGTGAAAGTAAGGATGGATAGATCTTTGTTACTCTTTCACGCCAAAATGGCTAAACGGATCTGGATGAAGTTTGGCACAGAGATAGATTATAATCTGGCATAGCACTTATGTGCTTATATACTTATGTATATCCCGGAAAAATGCACGGTTCCCGTAGGATAGATTATTGTTTTCGTTTAGGGACGAACGCGAAGCGAAGCGAGGGTGAGTCGCTAGTAAATAATATAAGTTTTAGCCCAGTCGAATTAGGTCAAAAAAGGGGCAAACATTGCAGAAATTTTCAACAGCAATTTTCCTTAGGGGAGTCACTGGAAGTCTAAATTTAGATTTTCGGGGTAAAAGACCCGTTGCGTTTTTTTTGCTCTTAATTATTGACAAGAAGCTACATATTTAAAAAAATGTGAAATGCGATTACTGTACCTTCATAGAGTTTAAGCTACTCGCTGCATTCGCCACAACATCTCCCAAAGCCGCTGGAGGTAATGCAGTGCATTTAAGTCCGTGAATAATAAATATAACGACACAGAACCACCGAACACGCATGGTCACTCTTATTTTTATAATAACTGTCACTTTTAATGAAAAATTTAGATCAAATATTACGGCAATAGATAAAACATATTTTTTTACTAAGTACTACTTTTGTAGGTCCTAAAGGCTTTTTTCAATCTTGAAAACTATCTTGATTTTATTTTTCAAAGGCCTGTTTGTGGAGTATCTGAAAAAGAAAAAAAAATACATTACGCATTACTTAAAACAGAATTAATACTATTATTACTACTTAGGTATTAAATGAAGTATTATTATTATTATGTTGGGTGTGGTGCCGAGGTCGGCCCTAGCTACGTCGACCAGTTTTGGTCCATTGTAGCTCCCTATATAGTGAGTTCAAAGTTCTCCGCGTTATATTACGTTATATAAATATTACGCGCACTTTCACTGTTTCATTCACATAATTTTAACCTAGAGATAGCGGACAGGAACTGATTGTCGCATTATTGCTGTTGTAAGTAAGCAGTAGAGTTAAAAAACAAATTGTGAAGCCGTACTAGGTCCTAGTTCCATACTGAAGTTTAATACATTTATTATTTATTTTTATTAAAAATTATTATGATTATTAATCTTAAACACCAAAAGAGGGTTACTTTAAGTTTGACGTCTGTGTTCGTCTGTGTGTCTGTAGCATCGGAATTCCCAAACGAATAGATCGTTTTTAACGTGGTTTTTGTAGACAGATAGTAAAGCAATGCATAGTCCAGTTGATGAAAAAAATTTATAGACAAATATTTCAATAGCCTTTGATTTTCGTATTTATAATAAATATAATATGAAGGCCTTGACACTAGTCTCTTGTGTCTATCACCTCGATAGTATACAAATTACCTAACTCCTTGAAAATTTTAATTAAATGCATACATATATATCGCAGACCTAGATAAAAAGCAGCACAACTCGAAATATCTGGGGGCAGTTATAGATTGACTCCTCTTCTATTTCATATATTAAAAATAATGTTATGTGTTCTTGTACATAATTTTATTTAAAAACACGAATAGAAATCTATTAGTTCTCACGGGAACCGTTCATTTTTCCGGGATGAAAAGTAACCTGTTGTTTGATCGGAAATATAAGGTATCAGAATGTTAAATTTCACTAAATTAGGTGCATAAGTTGTTGTGTACTAAGCTGTATAAGATACTTTTTTAACTATCCCACGGGAACTCTTTAATTTTCTGGAATGAAAAGTATCTTAAATGCTGACCGGAGATATAAGGTACTAACATGCAAAATTTCATTTAAATCGGTCCAACAGTTTCGGAGATTAGCCCCTACAAACAGACAGAGAAATAAAAAAAATGAAAAAATCTGGATTTGTTCTATTTTTCTTCTTACGGGATGTAAGAAGATAACTGACTCGGTTTTTAGCATTTTTTTTCTACGTGCAGACATTCGACCCCTACAGTTTTTTTATATTTATAGATAGAATAAATAACGTATAATAAAACAGTAATATATAACAATGAAAATAGTTATAGCGAGTGTACCTTAGGAGATAGACATATACTATTGAGAACTTTTCTATCGACCTTAATTTTCTTGTACAATGTTTTGATCTATCTCTTAAGGTTGAGCCAGCGTTAGCCATATAAATTTCTTAGGACAATTCGATAGAACCAGTTAGTGTGTTTTCCCGTGGGAATGAATAATTTGCCTATCGTATAAGGTATCATAAATTTTGAACAGAGTACTAAGTTGTCACTATACAAAATTTAGTTAAAATCAGTTCAGTACTTTTTGCGTGAAATGCGCACATCGATTTGACTAAGTTAGTTTTATTATAGGTATAGATAAGAATAGATATTGCTTAGGAGATATACGTATACTATTCAGAACTTTCCTGTAGGACTTTTCAAGACCTACAATTTTTTGGTATATTGTTTTTATGTATGTATGTCTTAAGGTTTAGCCAGCGGAAGGTTTCTAGGGAGGACTCGACAAATCCAATTATTGTATCTTCCCGTGAGAAAAAAAGATTTTCTTGAAGTAAAAGGTATCCTAAACGTTGAATCGAGTAATAAGTTATCACTTCACCCAATTTCGTTGAAATCGGTTCATTACCTTTCGCGTGAAACGCACATACAAAAACAGACAAACAGACATACAGACAAACAGACAAATTTTTTGATAACTATTGTTTTGGGGCTTATGTTGTGTACATAATACGTTACAAATAAACGAAAACGTCTATCCCACGGGAACCGTACATTTTTCCAGGATAAAAAGTAACTTAATTGTTATTCTGATGTATGACCTATTTTTATTTCCTTATTATTCTTTCCTTATTGTACAGTTTCCTCAAAATCCAATCAGTAGTTTTTGTGTAATGAGCTGTATAAGTTACAATAGTTTTTTGACTGTCCCACGGGAACCCTTTAATTTTCCGGGATGAAAGGAAGCCGATTTGTTACTGTCATGTATGAACAATATTATTGTATAGTTTTATTAAAATCCAATCAGTAGTTTTTGTGTACTAAGCTGTATAAGTTATTACAGTTTTTTAACTATCCCACGGGAACTATTTAATTTTTCGGGATAAAAAGTATCTAAGATGTTGCCCGGGGATATAAGGTACCACCATGCAAAATTTCATTTAAATCGGTCTAATAGATTCGGAGATTAGCCCGTACAAACAAACAGACAGAGAAACAAAAAATTTGAAAAAAATCTGGATTTGTTCTATTTGTCTTCTTACATCCCCCTGACTCGGTTTTTAGCATTTTTTTACTATGTACAGACATTCGACCTCTACTGTTTTATTATAGTATAGATATTTATTTGGTCAAATAGCAGTCAGTATTACTTGTAACCAACTCAATAATTTATATAATTTATATAAATATTTAAAACACTTGACGATATTTATTTGGAACACCAACTAACCAACGAAACACCAATAATTCCAAAAATAATTTAATTTTTCTGTTTACATTTATAACCGAAAATTCATTAGATATTGTTATAATGTTTTATTTGGGAATTTTTACGGCAATATTATTAAATTGCATTTTTTTTCTTAGAAAATGAAACAAATATAACAACAACTCTATTGTATACAGTTTTTATTCTGCCTTCCTCTCGACTTGATTAGGACGAGGAAAAAAACGTGACATATCGCACATTGTATTCCTAGTCCGGTCAATTTAGACATTCGAAGTTACATTAAGTCCCAACAAGCTGAATTTCTGTGAAATTGTTCAAAACATAATTATAATAATTATAAACAATGTCTAGAAGTTCCCCATCATTCCCCTGTAAGGAAAAAATTTTATTCAAGGTCAAAGGTCAAAAAAATTAGTTTTTCGCGATTTTCAGCAAAACGGTAAGTTTTATCATAAAAGTGCCTCAGACAATAATTGTAGATCATAAAATTATCTATAACATTTTTTATAGATAATTTTATGATCTACAATTCAATACTTTTTTCAATCAATACTTTTTTTCTTACGAGCCACCGTTTCTGAGATATAACGATTCAAAAAGTTATAAAAGTTGTTATCGTCATAATATGCACACGTTTCCACGCCACCTATGAGGTGTACTTGGCGCGTTTTTTTAACGTGGTTTCCCCAGTAGGCCTACTCCACGGGTCAGTTGTGATAAAACTATTGCAAAATAACGGAAATTTTCAAAGATTGGGAAAGATAAAAGCGATGTAAATTTAAAAAAAGTGTTGAAGTTTATTCGTCTTATTCGTAAGTTTCAAATTCTTGTTCTTCTTCTTGTTCTTTTTCTCCTGCTTCTTCTTCATCTTCATTTTGGATGCAAGTAAATTGCGTCAATAGCGATGTATCGCATGATACTTCGTCGGAGTCAAACGAATCCTCTATTGTTTGTGATTCAATATTAGAGCAAGGCCGGTCGCCTTGACAATTTGTGCATGCCAAAGAACAAGACAGTCCTACTTTTTGCAACCACATTTAGCACTGCATCCCTTTTTGCAGTTGCAAAAAATAGTGTTCAGCAGTTTTTCCGGCGCAGGTGGAAGTAAAGTTTGAACTGGCTCTAATATATTGTTGACCAACTTCCAACCCCAGTCTGTAGGGTCTAGCTGATAACCAAGCCACACTTGAACTTGGTAATATACTCGAAGAAGATGTTGGTGAGCAGCAACTGAGGTTGGAGGAAGACAAGCTAATTGAACTTGTTATAGTTAAAACTTATGTATATTTTATATTGTAAGTATAAGTTACAATGACCGATAGAAAAATATTTAAACATTTAATATATAATATATATATAACAACTCTAGATGTATATACGTGGCGTACTCATGCATATTATGACGATAACAACTTTTAAAACTTTTTGAATCGTTATATCTCAGAAATGGTGGCTCGTAAAAAAAAGTATTGATACATTTTTTATAGATAATTTTATGATCTACAATTTTTGTCTGAGGTACTTTTATGATAAAACTTACCGTTTTGCTGAAAATCGCGAAAAACTCATTTTTTTTACCTTTGACCTTGAATAAATTTTTTTCCTTACAGGGGAATGATGGGGAACTTCTAGACATTGTTTATAATTATATTTTGAACAATTTCACAGAAATTCAGCTTGTTGGGACTTTATGTAACTTCACTCTCATTTTTTGGTCTAAATTGACCGGACTATCCTACGCGTTCGGGTTTTATTGTTTGGTTTGACAGACGCGACGCCACTTTTTGAAGTAATAGGTATTTGTTAGGAAATGTGCATCTATATTTTTATAAAGCAACTAGCGACTCACCCTCGCTCCACTCGGGTTCGCCCCTAGGTATATTTTAACGGCTAGACGGTTAGATTTCTCAAATGAGATATTTTCCCGTAGTAAAAAGTATTTTATATGTTGACTCGGACAACCAGCTATCATAATAAAATAGGACATAAATAGTAATATAGTAATATTTTTAATCGAAGAAAAAATATCTCCGTGGGATGTAGAAATTGGTGAAATAAAGAGATTTTTTTAAAACAAATTATGAAGGTAAAATTACATGAGC